TTTTCAAGGTTTACTTTTCCCCTTTATCATGAAGACTCTTCTTTCTTTTGTTTTCTTTTGTTTGATTTTCACTAAGTTCTTTTATTTCTTTTTTCATTTAAAAATGCTTATTTTTAAATTATTTTTAGTTATGTGTCCATGTTAAATGTGTGGGAATGTGGTAGTGCCTGTAAAAGCCAGGAGAAGGTGTAGGATCCCTTGAGGCTGGAGATATAAGTGCTTGTGAGCCACCCATGTGGGTGCTGGGAATGGAACCCTGGTCTTTCAGAGGAGTAAGAAGAGCTCTTAGCCACCGAGCCATCACTCCAGCTCTATCATTTTATTTCTCGATACATTGTTTTTTTTTTTTTTTTTTTTCCGAGATGGGTTTCTCTGTGTAGCTTTGTGCCTTTCCTGGATCTTGCTCAGTAGACCAGGCTGGCCTCGAACTCACAGAGATCCGCCTGGCTCTGCCTCATGAATGCTGGTATTAAAGGCGTGTGCCACCACTGCCCAGCTCGATACACTGTTTTATAGATGTCCAAACATGCTTTAATCTGACCTGTGCCTCAGTCCTTTTAGATTAGAAATCTGAAACCCTCTGGACTGTTTGTGAGGACCTCTTGAACCCCCTTTGACACTGCACATCATGTTCCCTTTACATACACAAAGGCTTGGACCTCCCCACCTCCCTTGACTTCGAATCTCACTGACCACTCGGTATTCAGCCATGTGGATGCTCTGCATTTTCCACAATCTAACTCCTCATCTTCTTTAGCTCTGTTACACTTTGTTGCTCTACCCAAAGTATCCAGGAGACCAAGATAAGGAAGATATGCAGTTTCCTGTGAGCTGTGCTCCTGAGGAAAGGAACATGCTAGAGTCTGAAGGCTCACTCTTTATCGCACACTTGGAGCATAAGGACTGGAGACTAGCAAACCTTTGGTTACCCTTTTTTTCTTTTTCTTTTTCTTTTTGGTTTCTCAAGACAGGGTTTCTCTGTAACAGCCTTCTCTGTCTTGGAACTTGCTTTGTAGACCAAGCTGGCTTTGAACTCACAGAGCTCCACCTGCCTCTGCTTCCTGAGTGCTAAGATTAAAGGCATGTGCCACCGCTGCCTGGCTTAAAGCTTTGGTTTCTAACACAATTCTACCAAGTATGGTAGTATTTTATTTGTACTGAACTGTGATTTTATTTGTATGTTAATAAATAAAGTTGCTTGGGGGTCAGAGCTAATAGCAAGCCATAGCAGAGCTGGGCGTTTGTGGTGCACGCCTTTAATCCCAGCACTTGGTAGAAGAGCTAGGTAGATCTCTGTGTGGTCAAGGATACAACCAGCATTGGAGACACACGCCTTTAATCTCAATACCATAGAAGACCTGGAGGGCTGTACAAACAGGCAGTGATGAGGCAGTCATGTGTTTGGGTTTACGGTAAAGAGTGAGCCTTCAGACTCTAGCATGCTCCTTTCCTCAGGAGCACAGCTCACAGGAAACTGCATATCTTCCTTATCTTGGACTCCTGGATACTTTGGGTAGAGCAACAAAGCGCAACAGAGCTAAAGAAGATGAGGAGTTAGATTGTGGAAAATGCAGAGCATCCACATGGCTGAATACCAAGTGGTCAGTGAGATTCGAAGTCAAGGGAGGTGGGGAGGTCCAGGCCTTTGTGTATGTGAAGGGAACAGGATGTGCAGTGAGAAGGCAGAACAGAAAGACTATATAAAGACAAACACACAGGAAGTAGGTCCCTTTCGGAGAGGTCTCTTGGCTTAAGAGGTTAGCTGCAGCAGGCAGTAAGGCTTTTCTCTCTGGTCTCTTGGCTTTCTTCTTTGCATTGGTTCTGTATTTCTTATTTAATAAGACGGTTGGTTACATCTACAACCAAGTGATGCCATTTGTGGTTGTGAATATCATTTCAGAATATTTCCAGAATATCTGGGCTTTTCATGTGGACTCTGCCATTTATCTAGAGAAGACAGGAGAATCAGATCATGAAGAAACCTAAGCTGAGCCCAGAAGAAGCTTATTAACATCAAGAAGTTAGCCACATAGCGTGCAAGTGAGCAGATAGTCCTCAACTCTTGCATTTGCCAAGACTCACTAACCTGGAGGTTTATTCCTTAAGAAGACTTACCAGGCACTGGCAAAACATTAAACTGACAATTGATGAACATCTATTTTTACAGGCGAAATTCTATTAACTATTTCTCTCTTTCTTTGCTTTTCTTTTTTTTTCTTTTAGTAAAGAAACATTTGACCAATGCAGAATAATTGAACAGGCTATCAGAACACTTCAGAATTCTGAGTTTAGCGAGCTACTGAAGTTGTGTGGGAGCATATTGCTAGATTGCAAAAGAGTTCAGTAGTGTTGTACCTGGATGGTAGCATTTCATGACAATCTTCTCTATCCTCTGTGTCCTGAATTCTTTGCACCCTTTCTGTAAAGTGTTCCAGGCCTTGGGAGTAGGAATGTGGGGGTGATATAGTTTTCTTATTGAGGACATTGCTCTTCAGTCATTGTTCTCAGGACTTTGATAACATAGAAGTCTCTGCTTCAACTGCTACCTCTGCAGAAAAGCTCATCTCTGTCTCGGGCTAAAAGCTGAAGCAGGCTATGTATCTAAACATTTAGATGGCTGCCTGACTGTGTGTTCATTAATGGAGACAATGACAGTGTGTTCCTTTCTTGGGCTCATGCTCTGCACAGCCATAGGCTTTGGGCCTGGTTTGTAGTATCAAGTGTATATCCCTGCCCATGGAACAGGCCTGGCATCCAATAAATTGCAACCACACATACTCAGCAACCTGCATGCACAGGACTGGCCTTCGAACTTCCCATCACGAATAGAGGAGGTGCCATGTGTCCCATCTCTTCCTAAGGAGCTAATGACTGTAAATGGTTGCTGAAGAAAGTGATGTCATTTTCTCTAATGTGGCAACTTGGGGACTAGGTGGGAAGAAGACAACGTTCAGAAGCAAAGGAAGGGGGCATACCAGAGAGTAATGGGGTGAATATAATCCCAGTACACTGTATGCAAAACTGTTGTAAAATAAAGGGAGGGTATACAATTGGACATTATTACCCTGGCCTCACTCCTACTTCTTGACATAGGTCCTTTGGAGGAAAATATCCTCTAATTCTTCCTTTGTAGTCCCAGGTGATTTAGTTACTTATAAATATTTTGCCTTCTATCAACTTTAAGTCATACCCATTCTCCCAATTTCTAAAAAGTTCTCACAGACCCAAGTAGAACTTTCTATGTCTCTTTCCACTTCTCTTCATTGGAGAATGTGCTTGAATAATTATGATTGTTTTAAATTTTTATTATAATGATATTTGATATTATAACACTGAGTAGAAATAATAATGTGTCCAAGAACTAATGGTACTCCAGTTCAATAATTCATACAGTTAGCTGCTGAAAATCGGCTCTAATAATGATCAGTTTTAATTTCTCTCTTCAGTTGGGATTAGTATTATAGTTGTGTGAATCACAGAATAAAACATCTACTTATTCTAAATAATAAAAAAACAACCTTTTATTTAGTACTTGATGTACTTAGTATATATTATTTAAAAAACCCACTATTTTTTCTCTTTACTGATAACATTGGAATAATATAGTGGCAAACACCCAAATTTTAAATGAATCCACTAAAATACATCTTTGGCCTCAGATGAAAAAAACGTGTTTTCCATATAATTTATATATTGTAACATACTTATAAAAGTGGGTATGTTCAAGCATTAGCATACATCTCTTCTAAATAGTATAGCATATTTATGAATGATTATAAATTTATTATTGATTTTCCAACTCTTAAGTATTTTTAAACATATGTTCTAATCTAAAACAAACTTAATTTATGTTTTGATTCTTGATTTGCAATTAGGGACTGAAAACTTAGAATTTCATAGGAAAATGGCTTATGAGATTTAGTGCTATGTGCATTCCTGGAGAAATGACTGCTATAGCTTTAAGATAAGGTAGTCTGATGATTCATTGCAGGAAACAAGATCGATTTGGAGCAGGCTCCTACTGTTAGCTTTTTTGAAGATGGATTCTCACGCCGAAAATAACACAACATATTCTAAATAACAGCACCCCCTCCCCGAAATCCACCAAAACTGAAGAAAAATCCAAGTGACTGTTCTTAGCAGCTGTGTGGCCTGGAGTTCACTGGGGAAGCTGGCTTCCTGCAGTCCCCTATTCATCACCTGCTTCAAAGACAGCCTGGCTGGCTATAGTTTGCAGGCCAGGTAGGGTGCCATTGTGCACAGTCTGGGAGGATTAGTATCAAAGCTTCGGCAACCAGGCCCTTGGTCTCAGGCTGCCATTCAGTCTAGCAGGGAGAGGCTAAGACTGGCCAAGGTCACAGTCTCCAGTGTGGAGTGGACTGGGAAAGGATCCTGAGAATAGAATGCTTTTTATGAAATCATGGCGCAGGCTTGCGGCACAGCAGGTGTCCTTCTGGAAGACATAACATCTGTTTATGTTGGTATACCGTAGCTGACAGAAAGATAATAGAGCTTTGAAATTTATCATTTTATTTCTAAAAGACAACTGTATATACAATAATCCAGATGCATATTTAGCTCAGATCTTTTATTGGAAAATCATAAAGGGAACTGATCGATTTAATTGCTGCTTTTTACATGTATATATATTCAAGCAGAAAGCAAAGTGTACTGACTGTTAACCGTTTACAACCATTGCTGATCGCAATACCCAATTCTTGGGGAAGAAATACCTAGCATTCAATGTAAATTTTTTCAGTGTTCAGACATTAGTGTCAACAGATTGCAAAGGATTTCCTGAATATGACAAGTGTCTTGAATATTAGGAGTTTTAGATAAAATGTTCCCCATTAAATGAAGGTATTTTAAGGGTGAGGTAATAATGACGCAAAAATAAAATTTTCAACTTGGACAAATTAGAGAAAAATTAAGCTGTACATGAGTTGTCATGACGACAAGGATGTTCTGTTGATGAACTGTCCTCCTCATTGTCCAATCAGATAGTAGAGCTGAAGCTGGAGCATGAACAGGAGAAGACGCACCTATTACAGCAGCATAACGCAGAGAAGGATAGCCTAGTCCGAGACCATGAACGGGAAATTGAAAACCTGGAGAAACAGCTTCGCGCTGCCAATATGGAGCACGAAAATCAAATTCAAGAGTCCAAGAAACGAGATGCACAGGTAATTATCAATAATATTTGCTAAAACGGGTGTCTATCTTTAAAAAGTCATCAGCGTTTCATGTTTTCTTCTTCTTCTTCTTGATGCACGCTGTTTGATCATTTGCAAAACTGACATATAAATGTGATTTTTTTGTTTTCTCCCCCCCCCCACCGCTCACCCCCCTGTTTGGAGGATGAATAAGGCTTTAACTACAGAAACCACAGGTAGCCAGATTAAAAATCCCATGGCGCGCTATAACTTGGTCCCTTTTTTATAATCTTGTCTCAGTTCCTTTCATGATTTTTTTTTAAAGGTATGCCCCTTACCCCTCCCCTCAGCCTTAGAAAATCCCTAAGAAATATATTAGCCTCACCCCTGGCTTTTTGTTTTAATCTCTGAAGGCAATCAAGCAGCTGCTTTAATATTTGCTTTCTTGCCTATTGTTGCTTTTTTTCCATGAGACTCTATGTTTGATTAGCTTGCTTGGATGGTAATTGATAAAAATGACTCCAGAGAAAGGCTATTTCCCATCAGGTCTGTTGCTTTTTCCTGCATGCACACACACATGCCTCCTAGCCTCCATCTCTGTGGTCCCTGTTGGAAGCCATTTGGCAGAATAACCCCCAGCTGTGGTAGCATTTGACTCTTCAAACTTATGGATGAAATGTGCACTGTCAGCATGGAAAATTATCTTTATAAATTTCAGATGAAAAAAATCGTATTGGGTATGTATCTTTGTGGTACAATACATTCTTTAGGGTATATATTATCAAGGGCCTTTAGTATATCCTCTTGAGCAGATTGCTGTGAAATTTTATTAAAGAAAAATTTAAGAGCAATTGACAACAATAAAAAGATAATTTTCTTTTCTAATAAAACCATATCATCTACTAGGTCTAAAGACCTCTTTTGCCATTGAAACCCAAGCATGCTAACCACACCACAGATAAGCCTTGATTATCCTTCCTTCTAAAATAATATAATTTCCAAATAGCAAAATAAAGCTTCTGTTATGGTATGTGTTTAAGCCATTTTGTAATTACCTAAACATCAAAACATTCCTAATTAAAGAAGATGTTAATTTTTGAGTGGCGAGCGAGTGGCGGTAAGGCAAAGCATGGGACTTGGTTGTTTTTCATTTGACCTTGGTTTGTCTTTTATTTCAGAGTAACTGGTACAATAGGAGTATAGTTGGTGCAGATTTTCTGTCAATAATATCTGTTTATGGGGGAAGTATGTTTTGATTGTTTTATGGTTATATGCTTACTAAAAGGTGATTAGTATAGTACGCATGGCCCCAAAATAATCATATGGTTTCTAACAATATTCATTGTATTTTTGCTAATAACCTTGTTAGAACCTTTAGAAAATATATGCTGTTCTTTTAATTTTCAGTCACATGATTTTTTAAAGAATATTTTCGAACATGTTCTTCATATGTAATGTTAACCTTACCATTGTCTCCCCATAAGGGACTTGAGGTCTGGGTCAGTGTAGGATCTGTTTGCATAGAAAAATCACATAATAGATACAATAAAATCCATTAGTTTGCTTAAATGCCCACTATTTTGGTGCTATGGTAGAAAGCTGACACACTGGAGGCCAAATTTATAGGAAATCTTTGTGATTTTGCATATGCCGTATCTGCCATGTAGGGTGCGGTCCATCTGATCATAACAAAAGGGAAATTTTAGAACTGTTATATGTAATTCAACCACAGGGATGGTCCAATATGGCTGTTCCCTGGGTTTATGCTCAGCACAGTATTAACTATGAAGACTCTGTGACATCTTTGGTTTAGGAGATCTCTCATATTTTGTGTCTTTCTTAGAGCGTTTTACTAATTGGGATTGCTGTCATGGGAATGCCAGTAAGCAATGCAAACTCGGACTCCATTCATTCCTAAGCAAAATGAAAATAACTTGGTACACATTGTTACCTAGTTGTGTTTGGAGAATACAATTTTAAAGAACTTTTATTAGTAACTACATTTTAAAAATTTTATCTTGTGTAACCAAAATACTAATAATTTTTGTCTATGGTGATTCACTGAGGATATTAACTCAGTTTCCTTCAAGTAGCTCCTAAATTTTTATATTATGTCTTTCCATGATTGTGGCCTAAAAATTTAATGTATAATACCTTTGAAGTACTGAATTCCATTCACAAATTAGAAATACACTAATAGCTTGGTGTTTTTCAAAACAGATTAAAAAATTACTGTGATGTTTGATGCAGAAAAAAACCATATATATATCTTAGGTATTACATTGTATATATTTTTTTTATTTCCGGAAAGATTTGATTTTCAGTTAACATTTGGCTCATCCACTTTAGCATTGGAGGCCATTTTGTAAGAAAGACTACCTTCAGTCCTTGGCTACAGAGCAGCACTGCAGTGTCTGTTTTGGATAGCGTGGCTTTGTTCGCTGCTCTCCTCTTCCATCAGACCCTGATAATGAGGATAATAGTCAAACTAAGTCATTTCAGCTTCTTCCAGATGTGTAGTGTATTATATGCTGAAAGACAACCATTACCCTTTGCAATGTAAGTCTTGCCAACTAGAACTTCCTCTTGGTGAATATGATTATAATTATAACAAATTAGATTTTATCCTCGTTATTCCCCTTTTCTAAGATAATGATAGCACCCATAATACATCTAAGGACAGTTAGCCACTGACCTCATTTATTAACTAATTATTCTATGTGTATGTTTTATTTTTCCATGCTTTTTAGCATCAGGATATCTTATTGTGTGATAATTATATTTGCTAAAAGGCACATTGTTTAACAAGTTCAGTCTGGGTCTGTCTAAGATCATATTTTAGAAAAAATAACCAGATTGATAGAAATCAACACATGTAGAAATCCTTGATTTTCTCAAATATTCTTTATTTACCAATACTCTCTTAATGAAATTGAAGAATGATTTAATTGATTCAATCATATTTTAATATAAAGAAAATTTATAAATGTCACCTTACAAAGCTTTGTCTAGTATGGCAGTTCTATATATAATTCTTATTTTGCTTTTGTATTGTCACACTATGAATTTATTATGTTAAATTGGAAGAAATATAAAATATAAGTTTCCTTAACTTGTTGTCAGTTGTCAGTTTAGGATGATGAACCTTTTCGAGATTTCTTGTTCTTATCTGTGCATGGCCTGAATGAGAGGTGTATGTGAATACCAAAAGACAGTTTTGTGGAGCCTTTGTGACCTACCCCAGAGGTGATGTCACCACCTTAGAAGGTCTATATGACCTGTTGCAGGATAAACAGATCAAGGAGTCAGGGAAACTGGTAGCCACTATGAGCCCTCCTCAGGACAGCATCCTTGGAGAAAGTTATTAGCAATGTCCAAAAATATGTTAAACCTATCACTTACATGTGTACTATGGATTTTGTATAATATTGGCATATTGAAAGTCTTTAATATCTTAAATGGACAGTCATGATTCTAATAATTATCAAACAACTTTTGCATAGTAAGTAGATAAATCAACTTAATTTTGCTTTATTCACTTTAAGAAGCTGTACCTATTGCACATTCTAAAATGTAAAATTTATAGACCTTTACTTTAAAAACTTTCCTGAGAAGATATTTATACTTTTAAAAATTGTGTTCTAGCAACATTGTATTTTCTATTAATTTTCATATATGAGCACAATCTATAAATTCCCATTTATAATTTGGATTTGTGTACTGCAATGAATTAAGCATTACTATAACTCTTTGAAGGTTTTCAAAGGGTTAATTAAACAATATGTGTAATCCAATCATTATTGGTGCACCTACTTGTGGACACAGTCTTTATGCTTAGATAGCATTTCTCTATCAAAAATGTTTGACTTTTCTTTGTATACCTAATGCTTTCAAAAATGGCTAAAGGCAACATTTTATAGTAACTTCGTACTTTATGATCAAAAATAATAATCCAGCTCTAGATGATATTAGTCACATAGAACATCGACACTTGTAAAAGTTTCTATAGGTAGTGTGAGGTTAACCTGTGACCTTGCTAGAAGCCAAGGCAAGAAGGGAAGTGGTGACATGTGTGATTCTAATTACAAGGAGACAAGCAATAACTTTTCTCCCTAATTCTCATGTTGGCATAAATTTATGATATGAGACTGAGTATAAAGAATGGTGACATAAAACTGGTAATGTTTTCTGTATATTAAACATTTCAAATATCAGATGGAGAAATGCTAGAATCTTTGAGAATTTTCACAAAATGTAAGTAATATTCTCTATATTAATGAGCCTAAATTTCATTTTAATTTATTAAGAATATTATTGTTCTCAAATCAGAGAACAAAGCTACTTTAAGAGATCTAACTTTTGAGACATTATAAATTATATGAAAGTACATTTTGAGTGACAAATCTACCAAATTCTAGCACTGTCACTTTATGGGTGGGCCTGAATTCTAGTAAAATATTTTGAAGTAACAATTTAAACATGGCTGAGTCTGTAAGTAGGTTAGAAGTTATCTAATTTCCAAATGCTTTTCTATCTTGCATTATATTCTGTTCTCTGAATTGACTATACAAAACTATGGGAGTAAAATCAAATGGTAATCCATTCCAGGAATAAAAGATATTTATATCTGTGCTAAAATGACCAAAGTATTTCATCATCAGTATCTATTGTTGTTTCCATATTCTAAAGGAGTAAAGATTTTTAGTTCTTTGGGTCACACCAAACTAATTGCTTAGAAAACCCAAGCTATGTGATTCTTTATTTCCCTAACTTAAGGAGACAGCTGCCAAACTGTCCCCTGCCTGTTCTTCACCTCCTCCTCTAGAGACAGTCACACCAGAGTAGGTGCCTGGTGCTCCAGCTGTGTACACACCACACTTGGATAGTTGTCCCTGACATACGCAGCTGTTTGTAGTATAGGGAAAGTGGAGGAGAAGTAAGTGTGTTCTAAGTGTTAAGAGGATTTTGGGACAGTGTACGAAGTTGTTTCCAGGCACTAGAAGGCTGGGGAGTCGGGGGGTGGGGGTGGG